TTAGATTTGGAGCAGGTAGGGAGTTGAGAGATCATGGAACCATAGATTTTTGTTTGTTTTTTACATTATAAGTTCCAAATTGTCTCCCTCTTTCCCTCCCCACCCCACACTAGAGAAGTCCACCATTTGACACAAGTACATAAATATATAGATACACATTGCATCTGTATGTGTGTATGTACATATGCATGTATATAAAACCATACTATGCATACTTTGATTTATCAGTTCTGTCTCTGGAGGTGCATAGTATCTTCCTTCATAGGTCCTTTGTAGTTGATTTAAATATTTGCAATACTCCGAATAGCTTAGTCGTTCACAATTATGCTTCAAACGATATCTTCAATACAATGTTCTCTTGGTTCTGCCCATTCACTTTTTATTATTTCATGCAAGTCCTTCCACATTTTTTCTGAAATCAACCTGCTCATCATTTCTTATGGCACAATAGTACTTCATCACAAGCATATACCACAATTTGTTATTCATTTTCCAACTGATGGGCAACCCCTAAATTTCCAGTTCTTTGACACCACAAAGAGAACTGCTATAAATATTTTAGAACATATAAATCCTTTCCATTTTTCCCTGATCACCTTGGAAAATAGACCTGATAGTGATATTGTTGGGCCAAAGGGTATACACAGTCTTATAGCTCTTTGGGCATAATTCCAGATTGCTCTCTGAAATGATTGAATCAGTTCACAACTCAGCAGTGTAAGAGTGTTTCAATTTTTCCACATCCTCTCCAACATTTATCATTTTCCCTTTCTATTATTTTAGTCAATCTGAAATGTGTGAGATGATTTCTCAAAGTGGTTTGAATGTGCCGTTCTCTGATCAATAATGATTTAGAGCATTCTTTCATATTACTATAGATAAATTTGATTTCTTTATCCAAAAACTTCCTGTTCATATCCTTTGACCATTTATCAATTGGGGAATGATTTGTATTCTTATGAATTTGACAAAGTTCTCTATGTTTGATATATGAGACTTTTATCTGAGAAACTGACTATAAAAATATTTTCCCAATTTTCCACTTTCCTTCTAATCTTGGCTGCATTGGTTTTATTTGTACAAAATCTCTTTAATTTAATGTAATCAAAACTATCCATTTTATATCTCACAATGCTCTCTATTGTATGTTCATAAATTGTTCTCCTATCCATAAATCTGATAAAGTAATATGTTCCATGTTCTTCTAATTTGCTTATGATATCTCCCCTTATATCTAGATCATATCTATCCATTTTGACCTTATCTTGGTAAATGATGTAAGATATTGGTCTATACCTAGCATCGGCCAGGCTGCTTTCCAGTTTTCCTAGCAAATTTTTACCAAATAATGAGTTCTTAACCCCAAAATGTAAATCTTTACATTTTTCAAACACAAGGTTACTATAATCATTTCCCACTACATATGGTATTTCTATTCTGTTCCACTGGTTCACCTTTCTATTTCTTAGCCAGTACCAAATAGTTTTGATAATTGTTGCCATACAATATAATTTAAGATCTGGTACTGCTAAATCTCCTTCCTTTACATTTTTTTCATTGATTCCTTTGATATTCTTGACACTTTATTCTTCCAAATGAATTTTATTATTATTTTTTCTAGCTCAAAAAGTAATTTTTGGTGACTTAATTGGGATGGCATTGAATAAATAGATTACTTCAGGTAGAATTGTCATTTTTTTATACTGGCTCTGCCCATGCATGAACAATTAATATTTCTCTAATTATTTATATCTGACTTTATTTGTATAAAATGTTTTATAATTATGTTCATGTAGTTCCTAGGTTTGTCTTGGCAGCTAGAATCCCAGGTAATTTATGCCATCTATAGTTATTTTAAATGGGGTATCTCTTACTATCTCTTCTTGCAGGGTTTTGTTGGTTATATATAGAAACTCTGATGATTTGTGTGAATTTACTGTATATCCTGCTACTTTGGTAAAATTATTAATTGTTTTGACTAGCTTTTTAGTTGAATCTCTAGGATTTTTCAAGCCCGTTATCATATCATCTGCAAAAAGATAGCTTTGTTTCCTCATTGCCATTTCTAATTCCTTTAATTTCTTTTTCTTCTCTTATTGCTGTTGTTAGCATTTCTAATATTATATTGAATAATCTTGGTCATAATGAGCATTCTTCTTTCACTCCTGATCTTATTGGGAAGGCTTCTAGCTTATCCCCATTAGGAATAATGCTTGCTGATGGTTTTAGGTAGATGCTTCTCATCATTTTAAGGAAAAATCCATTCATACCTATGCTTTCAAGTGTTTTTAATAGGAATGAGTGCTGCATTTTGTCAAAAAGCTTTTTCTGCATCTATTGATATAATCATATGGTTTTTGTTGCTTTTTATTGATATAATCATTTATGTTAATAGTTTTCCTTATTTTAAACCACCCCTGCATTCCTGGCATAAATCCCACTTGGCCAGTGCATACAATCTTTGTAATATATTGGTACCATAGATTCCAAGTTAGAAGGGTCCTTAGAGGTTGTCTAGACTGAGCCCCTCATTTTACAGATGAGAACACTTAGGCCTGGAAAAATGAGATGATTTTCCCCAAGGTCACCCAGGTAGCAACTGGCAGAATTAGGATTTGAACCTAGTTTCTAGACTGGTTTATTCCCACTGAGTTATTCTAGACTGGTCCCCTCATTTTACAGAAGGGGAAATGAAATCCCAAAGGAGGGAAGGGGCTAAGGTCATACTGATAATAAAAAATCTTAAGACTGCAGATCCGAGCTAGAAGAAAGATCTAGGAATTGAAAACAAGACTTCTGATTTCAAATCCAGAACTTTTTTACTGTAACTAGTCAGACCCCTTCATTATGCAGAAAAGGAAATTGAGCCTCAAAGATGGGGAATGATTTTCCCAAGGTCTCACAGGTAGGAAGTAGCAGCTCAGGATTAGAACCCAGGTCTTCTGATGACAAATCCCACTCTCTTTCCATGACATCAGAATCCCAGCAATGGAATTCTTGTTCAGCACATTGATAATATGTGGGACACCCCACCCCCATCCCTTTCTGTTTCTTGATCTTTCTGATCTAGAAGGACCTGCCACACCTTCTAGCCCAGGGAAGGGGGAGATGGGGTTGGCATACCTTGTTTTTCAGTAAGACTTTCAAAGCAAGATGTGTCTCTGTGGCAGAGACCGGGCTCTGTAAGGAAACTCTAAAACAGGAATTCTGCTTTCCTCCCTCTGGGTGTCAAAGACCCAATTAACCTTCAGTACGACACTGGCTTACCCAATTTTCCCTGAAGAGATGAGAATATACTAGAATCACCAGTGTGGTTGTATCTTATGTTCAAAGCCCAACTCCTTCCCTGAGCCTGGTTTCAGGAAAACCTAGCTTGTGATCATTCTCTACAGGAAGTGTCACCTCCAAAAAAGCCTTGGATTGGAGGTAAGGAGCCCTAGCCTTTAATTCTGGTTTAACCTCTTAACTTGCTGTGTGATGACAGTGGGTGAGTCCATTTCCTTCTCTGGGCTTCATTTTTCTCCTCTGCAAAGTGAAAGTTGAAGAGGGGAGATGGTGGATTACATAGTTCTAGATCTCTGCCATTGCTGACTTCTATGATTCTGTAATAGCTTCTTGATCAATATCCTGTGTTCTGTGTTTTCAAATCTCTTTGAGCTCTAGAAGTCGAATGTTCTATGTTCTAAGCTCTAATGCATCCTACATTCTAAACCCATTATAATTCTGATATTCTGTGTTCTAAGGGCCTTTCTTGGTCTGACATAGTGTGTTCAGCCATACTTTAACAGATGTCAAATAATAAACACCCGACTGCTGGAGAAATCAGATTAAAATATAATTGAGAAATGTTTAGCCAAATAAATGAAAATACATTGCAACATAGATAATGATAATCTGTGGTTTTCTAAGTCAATATGCTGCCAGCAGAGATCCATTTCTATTTTAATTTGACACCACTGCTTTACAACATTAACTTTCTATGTTCTATGTTCTAAGGCTTCTCCCAGTTCTGACATTCTCTGTTTTAAGGCCCCTCTCAACAATGACATTCCCTCTTTTAAGGCCCCTCCCAGCCTTGACATTCTCTGTTTTAAGGCCCCTATCAGCAATGACATTTTATGATTTTCCATTTCCCATAAATACTCATAACTCTGACAGGTTTATATACAGGTTAGAACAAGTCCAAGCTCCGTGTCCTCCTGCAAACCCCTCCCCATTGGTCTGTCCAACATTCTGGAGACCTTTGTTAGGTTCCTCTTGACATGGCAAGGCTGTCTATCCATCTCCAACTCTTATCACATGATGGACCCATCTTCTTTTTATTTTCGCAATCATACATTTCTCTTCTTACATTCTTTACACCATGTCTTCTGTGTATTTCTTCATTTATAATGTGTGATGGCTGCCCTTGCCCACCATGTATCTCTCTCCATCACCCAGCGATCTTCAACCTCAGGTTTTCAAAGACTGAGGCATTTTCTAAACCTCAAAGCCATATAATATCACCCAAAGAAAACTATTTTTTAAAAGATAAACCTTTGTTTAAGGGAAAATCTTGAGGTCATTCAACTCACTGGACAATTTCTCAAGGGCCATGGAACCCAGACTCCTCCTCCTGTTCAATTCTGGGCCCAGCCAATTGTTCATTCGCTGCAGTGTCTGTTCCAGGTATATTGTAGGTGGACTGGTTCTACATATGTTATGGATCCATCATAGCATGGACAATAAGCATTCTTCATCCACTTGGCTTTTAATATGTGGATAGTCAAGCCAAGTTCTTTTGAATGCCTATGGGTCTCACTTAGGAATTTCTGCTGTGTTCCAGGGCTTGCTAGCATCATTTGCCATGTTATTCATAATCAGGAGCAGTTGAACAACCTCACCATCCATAGGAAAGCTCTCTTTGATTTGACTTCTGTGCCAAAGTTCCACTATGCCAGTGGCAATCATAGGCTTTATTTTCTTCATTCTTTTAATTTTTTTTCTCTTTTAATGTCTAGATCTGTGACTTCATTCCTGAAGGGAACTCCCAGTGAGGAAACTTTGTCCACTGATGCTGATTGACAATGCTGGCTAGGAAACCAAGACATTAAGTCCCCCAAGGTTATGCAGCTTGTTAGTGGCAGGGCAGGAAGAAGACCAGATCCACGTCTTCCAGGGAGACACTTTCACACCCCCAATAGCTTACCCTCCCCTAATCAAAGGAAAACAATACTACAATCTAGAATAGAAGGATAAAACACATACCAGATACATAAATACAAGGTAATTGGAGGAAAGGGGGTACACTAACAACTGGAGAAATCAAGGAGGGTTTCTCTGGGGAGCTGAACATTAAAGGAAGAAAAGTATTTAAAAGGCAGAGCACAACCAGATGAAGGAACACAGGCTATGCAGACACATGGAAGCTGGAGATGGCATGTTAAATCTTGGAAACCACTGGGAGTCAGGTTTGGCTGGAATGTAGAATGCATATGGTGTAATAAGTGTGGAAAGACAAGTTGGAGCTGGACCCTGAAGGGGATTGAATGCCAACAAAAGGAACTGGCATATTGTGTCTAGGTCACTTTTTCCCTCCCCTGGGTCAATCAGGGAAGCAACAACCCCCATCTCCATATCTTGGGAAGAAAAGAACTTTATATTTTTATCACTGTATCATTGTTATATAGGAATATAATATAATACAAATAACATAAAAGGCTTTTCTTCTTATTAGGCCCTCACCCTTTCATTTTTGCTAACCACTTTTTCTACCTACTATCTCATTGGATACTAAAACCCTCCTGTGAGGGAGTCAAGGGCAGGTACCATTACTCTCATTTTACACACTAGTAAACCAAGGCCCAAAGAGGCTATGTGACTTACCCAGGATCACACAGTGGGCTAATAATGGCAAAATCTGGACTAAAACCCAAGTGTGTGGAGGGCAGTCACTATCAACAGATGTCAGCTGAATGCTTCAATCAACAAACATTTCTTAAGGACCTCCTATGTTCCAGGCACTGTACTCAGCACTAGGGATACAGAGACAAAATGAGAATAGTTCCTGCCCTGAAGAAACTTACATTGTGTAAGAGTAACAAATATATCACATTTGAAGAATATATATGACAAGAATTGATAAGGAACTGATAAGAAAGATAGCTTTTTATTTTACTGATATGATATTATATTCTTGCATAATAATAATAAAATGGTGATAATATAGTGTCCTTCTCGCCCCAAGACATTAGGTATATACATATATACATACATACACTCTCTTCTCCCTTCTGTCTATATATATGTATATATTCATATTCATATTTATACACATGCATATATATACAATTTATATCTAGAGAGAGAGAGGCTGTGTAGGTTGGTATATACAACCATGGACTCTCTATTTCTATTGAGATATTTTATAGAGACAGCAAAAAATAGAGAGTCTGTGTATATATATATATACCCCAACCTACACAGTCTCTCTATATAGATATAGATATAGATACAGATATAGATATAGATATAGATTATATGTGTGTGGGCATGTGTGTGTGTATAGGGAGAGAGAGGGAAGGAGGGAGGGAGAGAGAAAGAGAAAGAGAGAGAGAAAGAGGGAATCTATGTATGTATGTATACCTACTTTCTTAGGGTATAAAAGAATATATATGTGTGTGTGTTTATGTGTGTGTGTATACATATGTGTCTGTATGTATATCTATTTATTAGAGAGAAAGAGAGACTTATAGATAGGTAGATCTCCATAGATGTAGGTATATAGTAGGAGAGGGGCTAAACCATGATTTCATTGGTATAGGGAACTCCAGAGCAAGGAAACTCTCTCCACCAATGCAGGTATGCACTTGCTCTGCAATCTATAGTCTTGGAAGAATGCAGAGGGTCAGCTACCTCCCTGGGGTCACACAGCCAATAGGTATCAGAGATAGGCTTGAAGGCAAGTCTTCCTGACTTTAAGGCAAGCTTTCCATCTGCTTTGTGATGCTGCCTTTATAGGTGTAGGAATAGGTAGAAACAAGGAAGAGAAAGGCAGCGTGATATAGTGGGTAGAACTCTGGACTTGGCAACAGGAACACATGGGTTCCAAACCAGTTTCTGACACTTACTAGCCATGTGACTATGTACAAGTTATTTAATCTCTCTGAGTGCCAGACTGTAGTCTGTAGGGAGCAGCAGGCATGCTACAGTGGCAAGAACCCTGACTCTGGAGTCAGAGGACCTTGGTTCAAATCCTGCTTGTGGATCTCACTACCTTTATGACCTTAGGCACATCACGTTAATCCTTGACCTCAGTTTCCTCATCTATAAAATGAGAGGGTTGGACAAGATGGCACCCATGGTCCATCCCTTCCAGCTCTAGAACTATGGTATATAGTAAGTGCTTAATAAATGTTTGTTGGTTGATTGCCCAGATGATCTTTCAGGTTGCTTTCAGCTCTCATAACCAAGGATGGCTTCAGCAGCCCTCTCTGCTGCTCAGTGATGACCCCACACATGTACTTGTCTTGAATTATCTAAAAAAGAAAATTATTTCTATTCCAATGGGACTTTAACAGTACAAAACTTTCCTCCGAACAATCTTGTGAGTTAGGCAACGCTCTAGAACTGCAATCTGGATGTAGAGATGGGCTGCAACCTACCATGGCATAGGGTGCTCCCATGCTGACAACATCCCAGGTCTTCTGCATTACCAATGCACGTATCTGTAAGGCTTCCCACAAGCCAGGGCTCTTCACTCTAAAACAGCCCAACATAAGTAAAGAGGAACACAAAGGAGGCGTGACAAGCAATGCCTGACCATCAATATAAAAATGGAGGAGGCAACATGGTGCCCAGGCACCATGGGCCCTGGACATGGAGTCAGGAGCTAGGCAGCCAAAATCCAGGCTCAGACCCTCCTCAGCTACATGACCTTGAGTAAGTCATTTCATTTCTCTGTGCCTCAGTTCCCTTCTCTCCAAAATGCAGGACAGTAACAATTGTACTACCAAACTCACAAGACTGTTCTGAGGAAAGAGTTTTGTACTCTCAAAGGACTATTGGAATAGAAATCCATTTCTTTTTTAGATAAATCAAGGACTACTACATCTGTGGGGTCATCATTGAGCAGCAAGAAGGGCTACTGAAACCATCCATGATCATTGAGCTGAAAAGAACCTGGGAGATCATCTGGGCAATCAATCAACAAACATTTATTAAGCACTTACTATATACCGGGCTCTTATGGCAGTGTACTTGATAGAGTGAAAAATCCTTAGGGCAGTCATAGAGCATTGGACTTGGATTCAGGAAGACTCAATTCAAATCCTGCCTCAGCAGGATTTGGCCCTGAGCAAATCACACCTTTCTCAGCCTCAATTTCCCCATCTATAAAATGGGTACAATAATAACACGTATTTCACAAGGTCGTAGGGAGGATCAAATGAATTAATATTTGTTTCTGTTGTTCAGTCATTTCAGTCGACCCCTTTTGGGGTTTTCTTGGCAGAGATACTGGAGTGGTTTGCCTTTTCCTTTTCCAGTTCATTTTACAGATGAGGGAACTGAGGCAAACAGGGTTAAGTGACTTGCCCAGAGTCACATAGCTACTAAGTGTCTGAGGCCAGATTTGAACTCAGGAAGATGAATCTTCCTGACTCCAGGCCCGGTGCTCTATCTACTGCACACACCTAGCTGACTGTAATATTTATAAATCACCATATAAATGCAATTATCATTATTGTTTTTGGTTCATATCTCCAGTGTCTAGTATGTAATAAATACTTAATACATTCTTGTTGATTGATTGATGACTAAAAATGCATGCCTCGTTCTAGCATCTATCACACTGCCCAGTGCCTACCAGAGTGCCTATAACATAGGTGTATAATCAATGCTTGTTGAGTGACTGATTTGTTATGTTAAAGTCCGTTTACCAGAGGGGTAAACTGAGGCTCAGAGAGGGGAGGAGCTTGGCCTAAGGCCACACAACTAGTCAGAGGCAGAGCCGGCAATTAAACTGAGAGCTATAACGTAGATAGGGATCCCTAGGACTTTGCCCAAGAGATCCAAAATGTAAGGGGTGCTGACAGCTTTTAGATTCCTCCAGTAGGAGCAAACAATTGAACCTGGTATTGATCAGTCAGAACAAGGAGTTAAAATAAGGATCTGTGAGGGCTCTCCCTTCTGGGGATGGTGCACCAGGTAAAGTCTGCCTTGCTCTGCTCCCGGTTCCCCACTCTCAACGAAGGCTTCAGATCTCTTTTTTCTCCCTACAAGGCATTGTCCCTGGGACCTCTACTCCAGCCCAATGCCGCCATGGATCCTTGTATCCTAAGGCTCAAGATCCCTCCCCAAGCAGACCTTAGCAATCATCTCTAGTGCAACCTTTCCATTTTGGACAATAGGAAACTGAGGCACAAAGGGAGCAAATGACTTGTCCAATCATCACACACATGATAAGGAGCAGGGCTAAGATTTACACCCAGGTCCTTTGCCTCCAGATCAGGAGCTCTTTCTCCCATTCCAGACTCTCTGCCACTCCCATCTTGATCAGTCTAGAAAGCTTCCTAGGGAAGGGAAGGGGTTTCAAAGCTGCAGAAGGCAAGTGAGTTAAGAGGAGTCAGGGTAGGGGAGCACTCACAGCCTACAGCACTGCTCAGGAGAGGGCCCAGAGCCAAGAATCTTCTGTTTAGACAATGTAGACCATTGAGCCAGGGTCCTTGGGTAAGGTGGGTAGAGAAGACTGCCAACCCAGAAACCTCGGTGGCCTCTGCTAGCCAGTGTGGCAGCCAAACCAAGACGCACTTTCCTCCAATCAGCATGAAAAAAGACTCACACTTAGGTTCTGGGAGGCCTGAGCCCTGCTGCGTTTAATTTATTTTTCTTGGCCTTCACTGACAGATTTAGTAAACCAATTCTGGCTTGATAGTAAAAAATCATTCTATCCTCCAGGCCCCTCAGCACTGTTTAAGTGTTTTCTATTG